ATATTTTTTTATTTCCAATATTTTGAAAAATAGTATTGTCACAAAAATCTTCCATGATCATTTATTATTCTTTTTTTATAAAGAATATTAATTTTAAAATGTAAATAAAAAAGACAGTTTTATTTAATAAATGGACCCTAACATAAAATTGGACAATTCATGAAAGAATTATGTAATATTCGACAAAATTATGTAACAAAAAATTAATATTCTTCACCGAAATCATGTTACAATGTAGATGCTAAACGTCACAAATTCGTAATCTTATTTTAAACAATTTTATAATTCGATTTAATTCAGTTTAATATTAAAATAACGAGATAATCTGCTGAAAAGGAGATAATCATGTTCATTAATTCTTTATATTGAAAAATAAATATATTATTAAAGTATGTAGTTACGTAAACAAGATTATCTCCTTTCCGATAGATTTACATTTTAAAACATTAAATTCGTATTGCAGAAATTTTTAAAACAAGATGATTACGAATTTATGAAGTTTATCACCGATTTTTTGCAGGATATCAATTTTTTTGACTGTTATAACAACAACTACTACTTATAGCATAACACGAGAAGAATTTATCTTCCAGTCGGCGCCGAAGAACTACACGCGAAATTGGGCAACCGAATTAGAATGGTCCTCGAGTTAAGAAGCCGTACATTGAATTTTCCTCCCTTTCTCTTCCATCTCGCTGTTCCTGTCGTAGTTGTTCGCTTCAATAAAGCAACTCCTCTTTGAGACTGTGAATCTCTTCGGAGGAACGTGACCGAAGCAAACTCGAACAATTGGGTCGCCGAAATTTAATGTACAGGCAGTGGATCGAACAGCACATGGAGTTAATTGCATTTTCAAGCACTATATCATCGTAAACTTCGTATCGATTGTTATTGTTTATTGCTCATTTTTATGTTTTACAGATATTAGGATTATTATTTATATTAGGATTAATATATAATATATTTATCAGGAAATGGAAGAATTACTTTTTCGTTACTTTTATATTATAGTTACTTTTTATAATAATAATTTTTGATAATGTCGTTGCAATTTTTATGATTGTAATAATGATTAACTATAATAAATGCTAAGGTTACGCTGAGATTAGGAAAGTTATTTTAAAAATTAAATTGTCATCATTACGTGTTACTTATTAAGAAAAAAGTAATAAGTAACGAGTAACACTCTAAAGTTATAATACTTTGTTACAAGTCGCATTAAAAATTAATGATCGAGTTATAAAAATTGTGTTACATTTTCCAGTAACAAAATTTCCAACCCATAACAAGTAATTATTAACTGTTTCAACTCTGGTGTTACATTATCACCATAAAAAATTCGCAACGTCAATTGCGTAAATTGTTATTACAACAAAATAACTAAGTAACAAAGTTACAATAACTAGTTACTTTCATTCCCTGATATTTACATACATGTTATATAAATTGAAATGTTTATTATTGACTCTGTGTAATAGAATCAGACAAAGAATGTACAAAAAAAAATTTCGCCATAGAACATAAACTTTGCTGCTTATTTGTTTTATCATATTTAAATAAATTGTGAAACAATAATCATAGCAATATTAAACAATTCTTTTACTTTTTTTATCTTTTTCAAGAAATCGAACGAAACATATTAAAGGCAGATATTAGATTGTTTTAAATTTAGCATTATTGAGATATTGCTTGCAATTTTCAGTATTTTACCAGAATAATATGTAATAATAGGCAAACTTTGATATTTGAGAAAATCTCGAAAATGGCCATATTCTTTATAAGCTGATACGTGACTTCGCATTGAACTAAATCAAAATAATGTAATATAAAGACTTTTTTCATAAAAAGAATTTATCAATGAAATTCACAGATTAAATTCGCAGATTTAAATTTTTTTAATGGTAACTAAGTTTTTTTTTAATAGAAGCGCAGTACGTATATTGATATTTCCGGTCTGTGAATATAAACTCGAATTCACCATATACTGACACACGCATGTAATGTCGAGAGCATGAACAAAATGTTTTTACTGCGTCGTCATGGATCGATATTGCTCGTAAAGACTCATAGTATAGACATAATGTAATACATTGTTCACTGTAAAAAAAGAATATAAAATATGGATTTAAACTTTTGAATATTTTAGAATTAATCTAGACTATTATGCAGTGACGGAATTATTGCGTAAATTGGACTGCGATAATTTTAGATGATCATAGCCACACATGCGGGGAATCAGATTGATTTGGAAACGAAAGATGAAAAGGATGTTGCAATGTAACGTCCTCTTTCAACGTTATTTCCGCGTAATGCATAGAACCATCAATCTTGATGTATGGCCAGTTATACAATACATAATAAATTTTGCAAATAACATTTTAGCGTTTTCGCTAAAATGTATGTAAAATGTATGATTGTTTTATGTAAGATATACATAAAACAAGAGATATGAACTGTCGACATGTTATATGCACAACTGAGGCTTATACAAGACGATAAACAGATTTTCGAAACAGTCTGACAAGCTTTTCGTAATTTATTCTGTACTCTGTTCCGTACAGTCAGACCGGACATTAAACTATTCAGATATTTCGAGGTGTTACGTTTATATTATTAACTGGAACTATATCTGGAACGTAGAAAATATATACATGCATATGTATTTTATTTGTATATGGAAAGAATAATTTTACTAAAATATATAAAAATTTAGCTTATAGATACAGATCTGAAAATAATTTTGTTAGACTATCAAAATAATTATGTAAGAAATTTAAGCCTGAGGAGCAATGTTGCAAAAAATTTTGATACTCCAACGACCAGATTGAGCATTTTAAATAATTATTTTGAAAACCTAACAAAATTATTTTCTGTATGTAGTTAAATTTTTTGATATTTAAACCCATCCTTTTCGTATAATAATTAAACCAAACCAACATTAGTTGTCGATATTAAAAGTACATATATCATTTATTATATAAAAGAATTTACGCTTATTACGTATATCTTATTATTTTAAATGTCAATAAAAGCAGGTCAATAAAAACAGAAACGATATCAGAATTTGTAATGAAAAATGGTCAATAAAAACAAAGTGATGTCATTTATCATTATAATGATAACACAGTATATTGCACAACAGAATAATATATGCATAGTAATTCATTATCTTATATACACGTCACAAATGAATATCGATACATAATTAAATAAACGCATACCGCGCTTAAATATTTTTACATATAAAATTGTATTTTCTTGAAAACTGATTAATTATAAAAATGTATTGTAATATGGTTTTAATTCCGTTTGTTTTTTTTACCTCGTTTGCAATTGTGTCGCAGTTTACTAAACACCGTCGTATTTAAAATAATTTTTCTTTTTTACAAAAACTGCACAACCAATCTTGTAAAAGCTTAATATAGTAATTGCAATTCTTGTTATTGCAGGATCGCGTTATTTGCATAACGACTGCGAGATTTGATGTTTTGCTAATCGTAGTCGGTCGTCAACTAATTACTAATTGTAATTACTAATAACTCATTTGTGTGTGGCGGCCCACAAAAGGCTAATTTGTGATTGTACCGATCACAGTGCAATGAGATCGATTACAGTGCTCTAGTCTGAACGCGCCTCGTTTCGATTATCGATCTTCGGGACGCTTCGGGGAAGGTGACTGATTGTTAGATCGCTGCCAATTTCCTCGTCATCTGTTCATCACAGAATTGCGCAGCAGAATACACATCGAGTGACGTACGACATTCCTGCAAGAGCTATCACGACCGTGTACCCGCAGTACGGAGCGATAATTCGTTTCGATAACTCGAGATATTATGTGATTGAATAACCGGCTTTATCGGACGGAACCAGCCGAAGCGAAGCGTACCGGTATATCGTAGTTGATATGCTGAATAGTGTCGCGACTGGACCGCGTTATATTAATGCGCCAGCAACGCAGAGTATCTACGATTGCTGGAATTAATATTCCGATTATATCGTTATATCATTTAAAGCACGCGGGAGACGATGACAATTTGTAACTATTGTCCTACCAGTTGTTATTGCTTTACGAGCGTTACGCTCTTACAAATGACCGAATGCCGATTGTGGCCATTGTAGAATATTGACCGCTGTCGGGAACTGCTGTCCGCTTGTACCGCTCTGAAACTTCATTGTACAACGGTAACTGCGCAATGTTATCTTTGTTGAAATACTAGCTCGTCGAAAAAATAGTTCGTAGGGAAGTAATAAACGTAACGTAGAATTATTTATTAAGTCAGTTCCCCGAAAGAGCTGTAGTTGACATTGTTTTTCAGAACACCACTTTGGATGACAGCAATGGCGCGGCGATCCTAAATTCGACGATCGCAAGGGTTCTCAATTTTATCAAGAGTGCAAGTGATGAGAATAAACTAATAATAAAGATAAATCTTTACGTAACACGGATCAACGATTGAAAAACTCGACGATTAAAATGCCAATTGATAAAAGCTTGTAGATATTTAATTTAGATTTAACTTCTACAGAAATTTAATTTCTGCTATTTGGGACACGTGACGGGTAGAATTTTATGTAGGACGAGAGAGAGAGAGAGAAAGAGAGAGAGAGAGAGAGAGAGAGAGAGAAATATGAATAATAGATTTAATTACATAAACGGTCTTAGTATTATGGATTAATATTGAAATATTTAAATTTAATTTATGAAGATGCTACTCATTGTTACGTTGTTATCATATTATATTAAATTTAAATTAGGAGATAATAAATTCAATCCTGCTTTGCGTATTGTGTACATATACATACATGTTTAATTTCGCGAAAATTAACTCGGGTGTTATAATACAAACCAGAAATTATTAGAGATGATTTACTATTGAATTTAACTCCAAGCGCTGTGAGAAATGTAGCAATATCATTAACTACGCTTCTTTTATTTACTGTGCATTAACATCAAACGGAAAGAAAAACATACAGCATAATTAAACTGCGGTGAATCTCACCTGCCACGTTTTTGCAATCGCAACGTCGTACGTTGGCGGTGGCGACGTCATAGATGGAATTGCGGAGTAAACAGGTTGCGATCTGCTCTGTGAATTTGGCCGACTCGTCCCACTTTCGTTGACGCTCGCATTTGGCGTATCTGGTATGGTGGCGTACAATGCTTCCGGTATAGTGTTTTCACGAATCCCACCGCCAAGTACACTCGAGCCCGAATCTATGTAATGTCGAAAATCAAAAATGGAACATTCTTTCTATCTTTTTCCCTAATCTTAATGAATTTTTATCTATATAAAAATATAATGTACTTACATATGTACTTTATATTTTTATATTATAAATGTACTTTACATTTTCATCTATACTTAAATATTAGAGAAACAATGGTAATCCAATCTCTTGAGTTAAATAACATTTATTTTTAACTTCCATGTATGTATATCAAAATATAAATCTCAATCCACATTTCTGAGATTAATTTTAAAATAATCTATATGAACGCACACACTTTATAAATAATAAACAAATTTTGAGTCATATTTTCTGAAATTAAATTATTTAATTATATTTTTATAATTAAATTCATAATATAATGAATAGAAATGATGTTTTATAGAAATGATTGAAAATAACTCAAATTAAATCTAATTTAGAGGCCTGACTGTAACAAATTGCGCAGCAATCATGTACAAAACACTGTGACACTACAATTACTATCATTACAGATAGCACATAGAATAGACTCTTAATATTATAAATTTAAGAGTGGCTACACATTTAAAAATATCTATAATACCGTAAAATATGATAGATATTCGAAATAAATATTCTTTCGACATCATGATAATATTAACAAAATTTGAACTTAATACGCGAACTGACTGACCGATGTAAGTATAATGTGATTCGGCTCTGTCGGCGCTTCGAGTCCTCCTCGAGTGAGTGAGCCGCTTCTCGTGCTTGCTGCTCTTCATCGTGGATCTCGAGGATTCAGTCACCATGCTGCTGCTTCCGGTCTCATTCGACGTTCGAGTCTTCGGTACTTGCCCTTCTTCGAGTTGTTTTCGCGAGCTCTTGCCCTCTGACTTGTTGCCCTTCGTCTTGGGCAGAAGGATGGCCAGCTTTCCCTGGCATTTCGGCAGACCCACGACTACGCCACAGGCACACACGTTCTCATTAGGCATCCTAAAAAAATCCAGACAGCATTTTAAAGAATTTATCCTGAGTAATAAAAAATTAGAAGTAATTAATTATTATGGAGCAGACTGTTCGGATGAACTTTAATTCGATGTTCTTCTTCGAAAAGGTATCTTAAACAGGTATATTAAAATTGCACAAGAATAATATTCTACGAGAAAATATCAGAATATGTCAGAATGAAATTTATGAAATATCTCATGAAGTATTCATTTTTCAAAGATCTTAATGCTTCCATTGTGAAGGATTGATTTGTATGAAAAAATTATACGATTTCATAAATAATATATGTCATTGTGACTTAACGACACTTTGTAACAGTCCTTTGCAATTCATTATAGTTGGCGCGCACTACAATCTGCCAAACAACGTTATCGACCTCGTGTGCTGCGCGCCATTATTAACGACCCTATAATAGCCCTTAATTGGAATCAGTTCGTAACGTTTATTCGTAATAGCGTCCCACTCAGCATCGGTTCTCGCGTGACAAACGCGATTACGCGAGTTCGGGACGTACTCGCCGAGAAAAAAAGCATGGCGAAACTTTTAACAGGCTCCATCCACTCGCCAGATTCAATTGACAAATTGAATTGTAAAAAATTCTGATGGGCAGAGCCCTTTGATTCGTAGAACGCATGCAGTTAGTTATATCGAGATTATCACATCGGTAAAGGGAAGAAGTATCGTAATTAAGAATTTGGAATCCTGCGATTGGTCTCAATTTCGGAACGCGGTCGCTGCAAAAGAATCAAAGAAGTATACCTATCGTATTCCTTACGAGAATTCACTTGAGTCATTTTGTGCGCGGAATCTTTAATATCGTGATCCAATTCAAACTTTCCGGAATAAATCATCGATTTGCCAAATTTCGCGATGAGAAGCAGAGCGGAGATCTCTACGCCTCAAGAAAGGAAAATAGCGAGAAAGAGGGAGAATGTAAAGTCGTCCTTTTGACTTGACTTTTATCGAGGTGGAAAAAGAAAAGAAGGTTCCTTAATTCCCGAGAAAAGCTTATTTCCCTCACATTTGGAAAGTCACTTCTGAGAGAACGAAGTCAAGCAAGTTCGCGTCGGATCGCACAATCCAGTTTTATATCGTCGAAATGAACAATGCTTCTCAGTATCCTCGTCGGATTTCGTCCTCGAGCACTCTTATCCTCTCAAGATTAAAAGGACTGTCGCCTTCGCGTTTATTATCCTTCCGTTTCTTACCTAAACCACTTTCAGCGGAGTACTCGATTTAATCTTGTACTTTCATACTGGACTATCATTGGTATTTTTAAAAGACAAATGAAATATTTTTCATAACATACTCTACTTTATTAATGCTTTTATATATGTTCTATTTTTATCTGAATGTGTATAAATCTCCTATATATATATATATATATATATATATATACACCAGGAGATTTATACACATTCAGATAAAAATAGAACAGAAAAAGATAATACTGAGACGGAGAGTGTCGAAGTAGAGATAAACCATTTGAGATTAATAATAATCTTATTAGCGTTATTTTTGTATAACATGATAAACCATAGGCAGGCATGATGTGATAATAGACTTGCTTTGACATTCGTGGCGCGTGCAAACATCCCGAGAATGCGTTCGCGCCTGGTAAAGTGACGCCCTGAGATAATTTCGGGTCTCGCCCGGTTTAGGCAGGGAGGGTCGAACACGAGGCCAGAGCAGGGGAATCGCTACATGGAAATTGAATTACGTGCCCTGCTGCGAAATGAGCTGCCAGGGACCTTGGTTAGTTTCGACGACAAACTGCTCGCTACAGTACGCAGACCTTCCCATTACTCATCCCGCTGCTGAGACCCACCGCAGAACTTCTTCGTGCCTGACTTTAGACATATATATATGTATTTGGAACTTGTTTCCCAAAGATACTACTTAATACGCCAGGACAACTTATTAGGATGAATCAAAAATACAGAAAGAAGGAGAGTATTTGTTCATGAGAGGTTCAACTTATCTTTAACAAACGGAACGAGTAATCGATAATTTTCTAAAGTGTAACTACAGCGTTTACGAGCGCGTCTCTTTAGCTGTAAAAGTTTCATGAATACCGATAAAGCCTGAGAAATTTCCAAGCACGTAACGCGACGTGCCATTTTATTGTGAGTCGCGTGGGCAATTTCGTGATGGGATATTTTTCCGCTGCAGATGATAAACGGTACGTTATTGGATTTACAACTCTGGGAAATTTATAGGCATATCCCGCATTTTTCTCTACATACAAACATAAAAGCTTGCATGTAAGTATGTGTTATATTGGACAATAAAATAGAGAGTAATTCCTAATAGACACATATTGTGTTCCACATGTTCAATAAAGAATCATTAATCGATGATGATTCTTGAAATGAGATTTTTGCGTTATGAATGTAAGAAATAGAAATGGGACGAGTCGATATTTATAATTAAAATCTTTGTCGAAAATATCAGCAAATGTAATGAAATATATCGCTGCCAGACGTATCTCTTTTTTGCTTACGAAGCAATATAACGTTTAATTACAAAGATTCAAGAGTTGCCCTAGTTGTAATTAACGTCGCCGACATCTTCGATGCGGGTATGGGAATGACTCTTCCCAGCGGCAGTTATCGGGCTGCATTGATATCGACAGAGACGAGAAATGGGCTTTTGAGCGATAATTATTACAATGCCGAGGCATATAACTCGTGTTCGAAACGGACAGTTGCGATTACGGAAGAACTAGAAAGATGAATTTTCTCTTTCTGCCAGTAATATCAAACAAGAGAAATTCCATGAGCATTAGAAAAGTAATGTAGGATCACTTGATCTTTGCAAAATAAAAAATTGCGCTTAATGTATAAAGGGAGAAAATACAAGGTACAAAAAGAAATATACGTGAAAGAGAGAAACGGAAGTAATGCAATTCGAGAAGCGAACAACCTTTCTTGATAATTGAATAAAATAAAATTAATGAAATGGTGAAATGTAAAAAGTCGAAGGGCATAATAATCGTTTTATTAAATTGGGCATGTTTCATAGTGAACAATACACGAATTATACGGATCTTTTATTTCTAATGAAACCTCATGGCGTCTTATAGGAAAATATTTGCGGTTTATTGCAATACAGACGTAATATCTGTTTTGGTTATCGTCTAACGTCAGATTAAAGGTACGCGATGAGAACAGATAAGGTAATGAGAAATCGCGTTCTCTCGTTGGAATTTCAGTCCTGTGAGATTCGCCTTATCTACCTGTAGAAATTCTCTCGCGATTCCGCAAAATGTATACAGGAATCAGCGCAAGGTAGTCTCTCCCTTTGATCCGCAGCAAGATTAATTTGTTACGGTGAGAGAGGAAGGAAAATAACACGCAGGGCTAGCAACGTCGACGTTAATTAATTTTGTCAAGCATCTTCCACAGGACCTTTCATTTTTCGTGTCCGCTTGCGTAATCCGACATGCGTAATTGACGCTCAACCATTAACTCACCTGTTAAAAAATGCGATTAAATTGTTGAAATATTTGCAATATTTATAAATGCTTGCGCGCAAATAACAATTTTACGAAGAATTACAACTATGTTACGACTATGGAAAATTTTACATCGTTGCATAATTTAAATTGTTATATTCATGTTCAATTCATTGTTGTGCTCATAGTTTAGTTTGTTGCTTGTTATTCACACGTTCACTGAATTATTTATCTTTACGCGGTAAATTTCTCTCACTTTGCTCATTATATGGAAAGAGAGAGAGAGAGAGAGAGAAGAGGGGGAGAAAGGGAGAGACAGTCTCGCAGTAAAATATTCATACATAAATAGATTGCGCGTTTTGTTCCAACATTTTGTGTTACAACATCTTTGGTACCAACATCGGAATTGCGCGGGTTGCGCCCTCGAGCACCACACGAACAAGAAATGTATCCATCGTAGATGAAGCCCGCACAGTTCATGAATTCTCCCATGATATCCCGTTAATACTCCCACAGACATGAACAGTTGAAAGAATCGTATGTCGTGTTAATTAAAGCCCGGGATGTAGTCTTCGGTGCTCTCGATGATGAGTCGTCTGTTTCGTAATTAATTGGCGAATATAGAGGCCGAAATCTGCCAATGAAAATTCAGTGCACGAATCTTCGCTCTTCGCATTAATGAACGCACTCGGCACTCGTCTCGCGTGTCGATAATTAATACCGGACGAATCACATCTGTGAAATTGAAAATAAGCGATTTTCCTTTCTCCTTCTTTTTCCCTTCCACTTTTTTTCTAATTTACACTAAACACAACGAAGGAGATTTTTTTTTCTTTCCGCGCTGTATATTTCGTTTAACGCATTGTCCCCATTGTCCCCGCAGAATTTATGGTCCACGGAGAACTCGACATGTTTCCGCGTTTCTTGCTTTTCTTCCTGTCAACGTTTGCAGTAATACGTATACAATTCACGTTGCCTAAACATGGGAAACATATCCACGTAACGACCATGTATTGTCGTTCTCATGACTTTGGTCGCGATCGATGTGCGAATCTCGATGTGCGACTCTTGATGTGCGCATTCGAAACGTCAGGAATTCTGTCAACGGTGTGTCAGCGACTGCTAATGAGATTTGAACGTTGCTCCGGCAAAAAGCCAGAAGGGAGTAAAAGGGGTGTGGGATTGCGGTATCCGGTCTCGACGTGGCGCGATGAATTTGACGTCGTCAAACGACAGAGTGTAGGCCACTATTCACTATTCTCCATCGCAAATATTTTGAATACTTGAGTTAAAAGAATCAATAAGCTGCTCGTACATCAGCATCTAAATTGCAAAACGATGCAACAGACCGGAGATGCGTTACTAAAATATTCATCCAGATTGTTCGACGAGGCGACGCGACGCGCGGCGATACGCGCGGGTGAATTGGGTCATCATGAAATATAACATTTTTACGAGGATGTACGATGTGCATATATTCGAAAGGAGTTGCCAGATCCCGTCCCAATGCGCCACTACTGGACTCTAA